TTGTCAGTTAAATGTGTTAATAACTCATTAAAAGATAGACCTTCAATAATTTTATCAATATCCTTTTCGGAAAGAGATTATTATATAAATAATTCTCCTAATTCCTTCTCAACTAATTTCAAATTAAATTCTTCAGAAGAAATCTTTTATTTTTCTAATGATAAACGGAATAGAAGGTATTCTATCAATCCTTTCTACTTTGATAACTTATTTTAATAATCTTATTCTGTGATTTACAGGTTTTGTAAATCAAAGGTAGTCACAATATCACAGTTAGAGCTAATTATTTTTTTTGGGTAATCTTTAATTACTGAAATTAGGAATCCATCAAGATCGATAAATTCTTACAATTTTTGTAGTTCTTATAGATTTGTTTATTGTAAGATGTTTATGAGAGATTTCTTGATAATGTCTAAATTTAAATGTAGTTTTAGATGCTTGTATATTAAATTTCGAAGATATTTTATTAATCCTTTAATCTCTTTAGGGTTCTCAATTTCATATTAGATTAGAAAAAATTCCTTAAGAAATGATATGGATTCATTATTATCATTTTCCAATTCTTAATTTATAGCTTCATAGTATAAATAAAGATTATTCAACTAATACTCAAAAAATGAAATGTAATTATGTTATTAAAGTAAAGAAATTTCAACCTTTTCTAATTTTTGGTATGAGTTTGTAATAAATTGTACCAGACTTTGAGCAGCTTCCAAAAAATTTGGTGAGTTGAGAGTAGCAGCTGGCAAAGCCAAAAGTTTCTTCTTCAAATCATCAAGTTACTAAATTTTAGCGTCCAATTGAAGTTTATTTAATTAATCTTAAACAAATTCTTTCTACCTCCAAAGTTCTTCCCTTTCATTTGTTTCATTATTTTGATTTTATGATTGATTTTTTTATTATTCATTCATCCTATCCTTAAAATCCTAAATTAAAAATTATAATATTTATTCTAACATTTTCATCAAATATTTAAGTTATTATAAATTTTTGAATTGAACAATCTCTTTCTAGTTAGATTATTAGATCTAAAAATGTTATTTCCATAAATTAAGCCTTATAATTTTAATGATTTTTTGAATATTTTGTAAATATTCTTCAAAATTATTAATCATTTACTTTATTTAGACATGATAAATTTTTTATTGTATCTTTTCAGTCAAATGAGTACGGTTTTTCATAAAAATCCTATAACTTTTAATTACTAGGCCTAATTTCTCATAATTTTCTTTAATTAAAGTTAGTAATTTATTTGAAATAATGAAATCAAAAAATGTCAAGATTTTTCCAATCAAAATGTTTTCATTTATTTAGGGTTCTATAGTCCCTACTTTTAATTTGTTTTGTAAATATGATTGAAATGTGAAATGGATATTTGAATTTTTTTCATTTAAGAAGTAGTCTTTAAGGAATAAGAAGTTTTCCCATTCTTTGAAACAATCTTCTAATATAACTCTATCAATTTAGAGTAATTCTTTATTTTAAAGTTAGTGAAGTAGAATAACAGCTTAATCATTGCTATGGTTCACTTAAATTAGTAATCCTTAGTTTTGATACTACTTCCACATTTACCTTGATTTGGTTCCTAAATTGAATTAACTAGTCAGCTGATATAATTGTTGTTTTGTTAAAAGAGGATTATATATTAAGATTTTCCCAATCATTTAAATCCATAAAAAATGAGTTTTCCAATTTATTGAATTTTTCACAAGTTATTCATGGATTGTCTGAATTTTGTCCATTATTTCTTCTAGATTTTTTTCTTTTTCATTTTTAAAATAACAGATAATCTCCCATTACAACATATCTATTTAAAAATAAACTTCATATTATTTTCTATTTTTTGAAACTGCATACATTTTATATGCTAGAAGAGCTCCTTTTAACAATGAGTCAAGTAATTCTGCATTAGGTTTCATTTGCATTATCGATTCAATTATACCACTTAAACACCCTTTTAAAATGTCATCCCTTTCATTATTATTATTTGGAGCCATCTCAAAAGAAGTCTTCGTTAAGAAAAGGTAAAGCTCCATTTAAATATGAATAAAATCATTTTTCTCTATTTCCATTTACTATTTTAATTCATCTGAAATCTCTAAAAATTCCTTTTATAATTCACATTTCATAATGCTCTAGTCATTTCTTATATGAAAGCTAAATATAACTTTAGATAGAGAGGCTGTAATTTATAAGATATATAAGCATTTAAACTAATCTGTTCTGATGTAGATCAAACAGCTTTTCAATAATTTACGGATTCCATCTAAGATTAAGTTGTATGATTTCTTGACATTTTAGGCATTCTTGATAAGTTTGTAGATATTTTCCTCTTAAAAAATAAACCATTGAATGGCTATCATTATTTCTTAAGATTCTGATGAATTTGCAGCCACAGAGGCTTTTGTGCAAATTGTTTCAACAAAGTAATTAAATCTGGTGATGAAGTAGTTTATAGCTTAATTATCTGGCTCTAAGTTTTCATTTGTGTGTGAACTTATTATAGCAGATCCACAACCACCTCCACGAAGTATAGATGGTGTCTTATTCTCCAAGCTCTGCATTGTTATAAAAATTTAAATAATAAATCCACGCCGGTATAAAACATAAAAAAGACATGATTTAGGAATCCAGAAAATTCTTAAACAATATCGATTTTTGTATTTGATTTATTAATTTTAAGATTTATATCTACAAAAATGGATTGATATTTAATTTAATGTGAGCAATTTAATGAAGATAACAATTAAAATGCTTAGTTATGATTACCTAAAGTAGTGAATATTGATTATATCATTATGGTTAGTTGAATTTAAAAAGCCGAATTTAAATAGAGAGCTGTGAACAACCATCGTTTTTGACGACTAGATATCATACTGAAATCAATTTATAAGCATTTAATCTAGATGCTTGAAATTCTTAGGTAATAATAGGCTATAATTATCAAATTTATAATTCATTTTTGGAAGAATTTATTAACTATCGATTTTAATTTATGATATGATACAACAGCATCGCTCATAGTTTTATGAAACTCAGATTTTGATTTACTGCTGCCTCATCGGATAGTTTTAGGATCAAGAAAATTAAACTTTTTAAAATTATAAAATTGCTATAAGTATTAAGTATTATATTGCTAAATAATCCTTATTATAAGATAAAAGCAAGAAAAACGTATAGTACTGGTAATAAAAGTTAACTAATAATAAGTGAAATTCACATGTTGATCGATGTAGAGAATTTTTAATTTAACAAAAGTAAAATATTTGGAAAATGTTTAGTAGCTTGCTAAAGTAAGTAGAATATATAATCGGAACTAAATTTATAGATAATTTCTAAAAGAATTTTTACATAAAAATTTTATTTCACAATGATAATTCAATAATTAAATCTATGTATTGAATATCAATAAACTTTAGATTGTCAGATTACATGATTTAGATATTTAATTTATTATACATAAAAACTTATTATAAGTTAAAAAAAATAATTTTAAATAAAAGCTATGTTTGCATAGAATTGATCAAATTTATTGCCTAAATTCTGAAGTTCTTTGGATATGGCTACATTATTTGATAATATTACACTCAATAAATGGAGAGTTTAGTTTAGAAGTAAACTAATTCTAAATTTTATTTAATATCTTATAATTTATAAATGGTTTAGCATTATCAATAGTTTCAATAAAATAATCTTAATCTCTAAACGAACGAGGATATATAATCTATTTAAAATTTTCTATATGTCATATACTTAAAAACTATCTTGAATATATTCGCCATACTTAATTAAATTAAATATTTACATTCTTTGAATTATCTTATTTTCAGAATAGATGATTTGATTTTCTTATGTAATTACTATTTGCAATTTTTATTTACAAAATTATTTTTTTGCAACCATTACAATATTCATATTTTTATAATTAATTAATTTATAA